ACCCACCAAGGCTGGTCCTACAACCCAGGTAAGTGAAGTGGTCGACACACTCAATAACTACACTCTCTATTGTTAGCCAATCCACTGTTGAAGACCAATCCTGGAGTAACAATTTGCATTTGGGTGATGAAAAATGCATCCCAAACATTCTCAAATTGACACTCAAAGTCTTCAGAAGACTCTGCACCTTGTCAGCATCTTCACCTAACAAGACTATGTCATCGCATATTCTAGGTCTAACGAAAATTCTCCTGTGATTAGGTCAACCTCTGTGTAATCAGGTGACGAGATGGAGACCTCCATAAGAATACCTATGCTGAAATTGAATATGAATGAAAAGAGTGGACAGCATTGACGGACACCATTTGACGAGTACAGCTCCCCGGATATCTCACCATAGGTCTTAACACACCCACAAGTGTTCAAGTAGAGAGCCTTCAATAAGGTGATGTAATTGCTCGGCACGCCTTTCGGTGACAGATATTGCCATAAGACTTCTCGATGAACACAGTCGAATGCCACCGTCTTCAGGTAGAGAAATACAACTGGTGTCGGGTGTCAGTAAGGGTGCCTGTGTACCAGAGACTGGCCATTGTGAATATTTGGTCAATACAACCGCGGCCGGGTCTAAAGTCTGCCTGCCAGGTGTTCTCGGTCTTGTTGTTCTCTGCCCCACTCAGGCGTCGTGTAGTAATTTACACTACAACGGTGACTGCTTTTCGTCCAATCACTATCCAACAGACCTTTCTGGTATGGTAGGATCTCGAGGGAACAAGTGTTCCACTAGCACATCTCGTTGAGTCATTGTGATATGTAAGCCCAACCACCACTTAAAGATAGTAGCTATCGGTCGAGGTAAAAACGGAGGTTCTTTTCCGAGTCATAACACCACTTACGCTTTTGGAAAAACCACCAATCAGCGCAAGAATTGAGTTTCCGGGTAGATAAATAGGTTAATGTAAAGTAATTACAATTCTCAAGGGAAACTAAAACTGAAAGTTGATTGAAGATGAAAGAAAAGTCAGACTTGCTGAAGGCTTCGAACGAAAGACGTAGAGGTTACCGGCTTGGGAACGTTAGCCAACTGACTGGTTTTCTTTCTTAGGAAGATAACTGTCCTAAATACGCATAACAGGTGATAAGCAGTGTTATTTAAAATTGGAATATTTAGCATTTGCTCAACTCGGCAACTATGTAAATGTCTTCATGCACTAAGTAATATCTGGCACAGTAAATGTGTGAAGGCTAGTAATTGTTACCACTTGGGTGAAAACTTCAACAAGTGGAGCAAAGTTCGGATCCAAAGCCTATCCCAAAAAGTCATAGATCCACTACTTATCGTCTAAAACGTTGTGAATCTCACGACTGAGAATGAAGATAAATGAATAGAGATAACAACATCGACCTAATTAGTGACCAATGCGTCAGCACGAGTGTATTGCTCATCAGTGAGATCCCTGTTCAATTCCCAGGTCCTGGCGACTGTGTACAGAGGACAGAATCAGGACAACCGACAGCAAGAAATATCAGAGAAGTTGTAGAATCAAATCATAATTTCACAGTTGACCATATTGTGAAGTAGTGAAGCACGCATCTATCTATGCATCAACCGTGGTGTCTCAGATCTGGCTGTGGATGGAGCAACTACATCAATCAAGAGGTCTAATAACAAAATCTCTCCCTCAAAGGATGCCAGGTACAGAAAGATGGAAAAATAGGATGAAAAAGACGTACAGAGGAGTAGGAGAGGGGGAGAGGGTAAAACAAAGTGAAATATGAAGATTAGGATAAAGACAAATGTGTGTAGCTGTATCTAAACCACTAGGGTCCATTCTGAAACATATTATTTAAAGTCTCCAACTATTGGTTTCGGTTGTTATGCGGATGCCAACCCACAAGTCTACACGATAGTTAATAATATATATTTCATAACTATAGGTTACATATAAGCAGTCAGTTTTCTGTGCCGCTGTAAAAGAAGTCTGGCTTCATAGAAATATGGCAGCTCATTGACTTCAGTATTCAACTTCAAGGAATAAATCGTAGGTTCGAATCCCTTACCACCTGCCTCGGTCTAGGTGACCAAGTAGTATCAAACAACCCGACTTCGAACATCTCGATTTGAAGATGCTCACTCCAGAAGAAACAAAGTCGGAAAGAATATTAACGCAACACAACTGATCGAAACTTGGTAGACAAGACAGGCTTTTGAACGTACAACCCAGTGGTTGGAAGCAAAGCGCTACAACTAGTGGATCATAGCTTTACATACACATATACAGATTACACTTCAGAATTCAAGGCATCACTGAGAAACACATACACCTGAAGATAACATGAATTAGGAGGAGAAATAATTTACATTCCTACAACCTGAATGACTAGCCACATCAAAGGTCATTAGGATGCTTTTCTAAACCAATGGTAATAAAAGTGTCTTATTTGTCTATGCTACGGGTATGATTTTGCTGATAACTACTGGAACAGCATATAATGAATCCAGCAAACATGTGTAGGTAATGTTAATTTGGCTCATCAGTCTAGAAAACTGGTTTCCAAACGCAATGAGTCACGTGTTCGAACTACTCTCCAGTTAGTTTGCAATATTCGTCTGTGGATAATAAATGTGACTGATTGCACCTACTATTGTGAAGCTGGTTGTATAGGCCGCAAAAGGCGTGTGTTCTATCCATCCATCCATCCCATCAGAATCTTCCTTCAAAGTCAAATCAAACACTACTGAGGGAGTGCAGATCCTCCATCCAAACACAACAAAATCCTTGAAATTCATCGGTCCAAGCCTGGTCTTTGCGTTTAAAAAAGATACGTTCAATCGCTAATTTTACCCTAGTCATAATCTCTAATTTTGTTTTAATGTGATCCTATAAACAATTCTCTCAAGTGGGTACTGACTAACCTGGAACCAATAAATCCCCAAAAAACCCCAAATGAAGTGATCTAGTGCACATTGGAGACTGGTTTCGAGAGGCTATTCCTGAAGTCCCAATGAGAAGTCTTGACTGGTGGGCATGAGGACAACTACTCAACGATGATATCGGGTCGAGATCGCGATATGACATGAATTGATAGAAGTTGGGAATATAGACCACTGGATTCTTACCCAATGGCTCAATGATAATGTGGTGGCCAAAGAACCTGAAGTTCCTGGGTTCGGTCTCTGGGCGCGAGGTCATGGGCGCCCACTGTTGAGGTATCCCACAATTAGACGAAACGGCTGTCTGGTGCTCCCAGGTTTCCAATGTTCTTCCAACTGATGTCAATCCAACTGGAAATCAATAAAGCCACACAAACTCTCAAATTTGAACGATTTTTTGAAAACCTTGTATTGACCCGTTAGCTATTAATGGACAGATTTTTGTTGTAAATGTATTTACCAGCGTACATCTTTTGAAAATGATTCGTCGAAAAGAAAATTTCCGTCGCTGAATTGTTTTTTGTTAATTCTGCATTATCTACTGGGCAGTATTCTGATGCTTATTGCCTATCTACAAAGATTCGCATTGTTACAAAGTTACATTATAATCGCAAAATAATGATCTGCATCTATCCTTTGAGAGGTTGTGATGCCATCTGACTACCTAAGGTGCGATAAGTGGAGCGGCATTTCAATTAGTGAACCACTGGTTTGAAATCAACCATTTGAGAAAATATTCCCGAACTGATTCTTGCGTGAGTGTCACAAGAAGATATTTTCCCATTCCATTAAACTGAAATTATCAGAGATCTAGAAAAGTCCGACGGGACTATCCCTGGTTTTTATACACCAGTAGCTAACGTTATATGAGCTCGGATAAAGAAGGCCCGTTTAGGATCTGCTAACTTATGTCATCTAAGGTGTAGCTGAGATAACCCATCAACTATTAAAAGACGGTGGAGCTGGTTTAGGAGATAGCTTTCAACCGACGGGTCACGGGTCCGAGCCCCACTTTACCTACCGAGGTTTGGAGAGCCAAGTAGTATCATTAGCTTTCACACAATAGGTGTGGCTGGTCAACTACTGTACGAGTGTGCATATGGTTGATGTGTATTTGACTCATTATTTTTCATATTAAAAGACGAGTGCACTGCGCTACAGTCTGTTCTGCCCTGTTTTACGGCTGTGAAACATGACTGTTAAGAGTAGCAGACATGAAGCGATAACAAGGTTTTGATTGCAGACATATTTGTAGTAATGCTTGAGCAATGTTAAACCACCGTATGAGCAGTCTTCAGGTCAGGCGAAGAGTACTGGGTAAGAAAAGACAGTCAATTGACAAGGAAGTGAACCTTAGTCGACTGAGGTGGCTTGAACATGTACTACGCATGCCCAGTCACGGCTCACCTCGATGTACCATGCTAGTGGAAGGTGGATTAGGTTCGAAGAAGACTCAGGGTGGTCACACAAAAACGTGGTACCACTCCATCAAGTCTCTGGCTATTCCTGTGAGCCGTGTGTGGCAAGTGTTAATTGTCTCGTTGGGGTCTCACATACCATAGGAATCAGTGGTTGAGTACTAACTATTGGTGAAAACGTTGGAAATCAGTCACAATCGAGCAGATGTATTCATTTCTGGATGTCTTCTAAAGTCTAAATGATACACATAAACCGTTATCTTTAAGTTGCTTATCCTCTCACACTTTTTCTAGACACTTGTTCTTTGTATATTACTATAGAGTGTGTCAACTTGTGCCGATTGCACTTGTGTGCAAGGTCCTACATTGATTTGGTCTGTCTGTCTGCTAGCACCTTAGTTACCCGGATACTACTGACGATAAACCATCAAGGTCGGGCTGTTTCGTATTGTTGCCAGTTTAAAACAGTCTAGACAATGAACGTATACAAGTGGAAAGAAAACCATGAAAGTGGAGGTCAATTTCAGTATACGATTATACAACACTTTATATGAACATCAATGAAAGATGGAATGACTAGTTTATGCATATAGCATACAAGAACTTTTCAATCAAAAAAAAAAATACATACAAGAAATCGAACTTACACGAATGATAGTAATCATTTAGAGATAAAAATCCAAAATTAAATGCTCCCTTCTGTGCACACTAGAAGTAGAAGAAAGATAAGAATAAAAATCTGTTTCAAAGAAATCTGATTAGAAACTGATAAATACACATATACAAAGTGTAGATGATAAGAGATGGAAAGAATATTTCACGTAAATCTATTCCTCTGTTAACTGCATGAATTTCTACTATTATTAGAATATAATTATGGGATAAGGTCGGAGAGTAGACTTACCGTTTTGCAGTCCCCTCGATGTATGCTTTTAGTTATGATGCTTATACATCAACTGAGTAAAAGTCTCCGTGTAGCATCATAGAGAAGTGAATAAAGCCGTTTACACTAGATACAGTGTTATTATTGTCTATAGTCCTTTGTTAAATACACCAACTATTCTCCATGCTACAATGGCTGTGAAACTGGACAACTGTGAAACCCTTTGTTTACACATTAGACTTTTAAGTATCAGGTTGTGGATCTAGATTCCATTCCACCAAACATCGTCTGGGTAATTAGGCGGTACTTTCCAGGAGCGGTCCGCATAACAATAGAAATCAGCGATTGGATATAGTTCAGAATGGATCTTAGTGATACAGATGTATCCACACATTATCTGCATCCTGATCATCAGATCTCATTGTTTTCTGCCCTACCTCCATTTCTTCTTTTCATTTGACTTTATGCGAATTTCGATTACATCATTGATGCTTCTCTGTTCCCTTGTATCTCAATGTGTTCATTTGGAGTGAGACAACTTGGATAGTTTAGAAGCAATGCCAGATCCTATGTTGACATTGACTGACCTCCTTCATAATACATATCGAAATGACATTTGGAAAGCAGTAGTCATAATTGATGAGAATAGCTCCGCTTTTGCTTGAAGGAAGGCTGGAAGGCGAATGCTTTTTACTCGGTCCGTTTGTAACTGTCAGATCGGCGCACATTGACACGAACAAAAAAAACCTAACTACTGAAACTAACAGTCTACAAGTCTAAAATTAATCTCATTCACGCCATGATTTCATATCCTGATAGACAGTGATTTAACAAGTGTGTGTGAGACACGTTGAAATCATGTAAATCAGTTTAGGTTCACGGTTTCATCGCCTAAAATTTCCACCTAAAGATAATATTTACGCAAAAACTTTGATCGCTAATCAAATTTCATCAGTAGACGGCCACCACCACTACCCCCACCAATTTATACGACCGTTAAAACAAAGAAAAAGTGTGATCAAAGAAATGAAAAAAAAGGTAGTCGTCGAAAAATTTCCTATTCTTCAAGGTATTTATGGTCAACAAGCGGTTTGAACTAATGAGCTAAAACGAAGCTATTAAGTTCATACTATTAACAACTTCGTAAAATCATACAGAATAGCAACCATAGTAAATATGCGATCTGTTACTGTATTTCATTAGAGAATACACAACTCTATATTTCAGTAATTCGAAGACCCCCATAGATTACATAGAACAAGAATAAGCGGTAAGTGCTATAGGTGAATGCAGATCAAGTCAAATAGTTATGTTTTTATCAGGTAGAATAGTAATCCATACTCGGTGATGATTGAAGGTGAAATAAAAATTTAAGCCGAGACAAGATTCGAGCCATTGACCTCCCGGTTTCCAGCCTGATCCTCTACCAAATGAACGATGATACCCGACTGATGACCAGATTTTTATCTCACCTTCAATCACCTTATAGTTATCAGTTTAGAGTGTTAGTTGTGCAATGAAATCACTATGGACAAAGCAATTAAGAAACAAGGTAAAATCTAGAGATAATTATTAATTTACATATGGATATTCGTGTATGTTTACTGGGAATCAAATTATCACTGCGTAGCGATGATTTATATTCAAGTACGGTGGAAAGTTATATGAATACAATAACCAAATAACGAATAAAGAATGTGAAGTCTGACACATAACGGTTGAAAATGTCTACTGGCAGTATCATGAATAAACAAGAGTGAAAAACGAATAACCTAGGAAGATGAATCTTCATCAATGAAATGAGAGAGACAAAGTCAAAGAATATGGTGGAAGTAAAATGATGGGAAGTTAAAATGTAAAACTTGCGATAGAAAAGTTTATGAAAAAAATGATGACTCTATTGTGGGACAAGGTAGACAAAGTGAGTCTACATATTTCTTTTGAACACATAGATCAGGTTTGCTTGTAATGGGTCTCATGGCTTCGCCTATAGAAATGAAAGGAAGTCGTGCCCCTTTAGGGAGAAAGCAAGGGACACGATATATTACAGAAAAGGAGTGATCTACCTTAATCTGAAGTCCGCTATCTACACTTTGTTAGTACCTTCCCTAAGGGAAGCTGTAACCCGTTCATAACTGAGCATGTATACAACTGTTTAAGTACGGTCTATTTAACTAGCTTCAAACAAGCAGGCGAACTCATAAATGCACATTGAAGTGGTCGTCATTAGTAACTTATCCTTGGTTCGGTGGTTTGATTGTGAAGCTTATAAGGAGTTTCTGACTGACTAATAAAATCAACGTAGAATCTAGTATATAACTGGATCAACTCAAGTTGCGACACTTCACAGTAGTACACAAAGAACAGGTCGATAGAAAAAAAGTTGTATTAAAGTAGATGAAGTAGTGTGAGAGAATAAACAATCTGAAGATAAGGGTTAGAGCTAAGGATTCAAGCTTTAAGATGTCAAGGAGTGATTAAATGTGCACCTTTGTAACCGATTTTCAGTCATGTTATCAATAGTCCTCGACCACTGATTCCTTTCGTCTTGGGGACCTCAGGAAGGTAGTCAACATCTTCCCAAACGGATCAGACTGATAATTAGAGGCTTCATGAAGTGGTGCTACGTTTCGGTCCGACCACCCATGCCTTTCTTCTAAGATAATCCAACTTCTAGCACTCCATGTGAAGGTAAGTGTTGGCTAGACATGCGTAGTACATGTTCAATCCACCACAGTCGATAAAGGTTCACAACCTTATCAATACATTCACTTGTGTTGCTGAATCTCAAAGTAAACTGAAACAACTGTCCAGTGCTCTCAGGTTACCATTACCAATGGTTTACCATTTGCAATCACAATCTATGACAAAACCTATTTTAAGATAAATCATTCCTTATAAACCACTAAAAAGCTTATTTTCTTTGAAGTACAATTTTTTTTCACTATGACGAGAATGCAGAATGAAATCTCATGATGTCGTACATATATTTCAGGATTTATTTCATCCTAGTTTGAAAGGTAATACTAACCATCAACTGTACACAAGATCAATTCTATGAAAGTTATGTCTGACGATGATGAATAAGTTAGTATTCATTTGCTAGGCTCAAGAACGTAAAATCTACATTTTTCAACTTTTCTATCCAACAAAATTATCATCACTTGGTAATCCTCCTATACAAATCATGGTACTCTCTACTGATTGATACACTTTGTAATGGGTGAGAGAAACAACCAAGAAGTGTGTGAATATTCTACGTGAAAACGAATGTTCGGATAAATTCATCAAAGGTAACATCAATTACATTGGTCCATAACGAGAAATGATGACAATGAAGAGGAAGTCATTGTTTCTGTGCTTGCAAATCAAGGGTGACACTCAATGTGACAGCCAATCACAACGTCTAGCCGAAGTAGTCAATAAGACGTTTCATATAGGTCGGCTTTGCATAGCTTTAAGCAATCGGCCAATGTTCGATCAGAGACAAAAGGATAGTCTACCTAATCTTAGCTCCTCATATAGGATATATCAGTTTAACTGGCCCTGTAGAACTAGTTACGTAGGATGTACGATTAGGCAGGTACATCTCCGGATACGATAGAGTTCACTGCCTTGGTTCGGAAAAGGCAAAGTGAAAACGCGCACCGAGTAGATACAAGGCATCACATAGATGCTAATAAAACTTTCAATGTCATTCATCGATTTTATTTTAAAAACAATACCATGTATGGCTCACCAACGCCTGCTCAACATAGCGGAGGCTGTCGCAATACGATTGATCAAATCTGAACTGTGCATTCAGAAGGATCGTGTTCAAATGTAATTCCTCTCTTGGCCTTCAGTAAAGCAAAAAAGGCTACTTCAGTCTTCTTTATTTGTTGTCTTTTCGTTCACCATCACATTACTCATCTGTATTTGTATATTATTCTAATATTAACACATTTAAATAAGAAAATCCTATTTCCTTACAGTCCCTAAATCTCACTCCATTTTGAAAATGTAATTGTCCCTAAACAAGCGTGATTTGGTGTTGTACAAATTCATTGGATTGCATACTTACAGAACTTGATGAGAATTCTACTGAAAAAAAATATGCTTCTTTCAGATTGTTCCTTTTTTACTAATGTGTTATTGAAAATCTTGAAATTCCACTGGAATATTAACTCCGTATCATCAACAATGTATAACAGGAGGATGGAAAGAAAAGGGGGAGCAAAAGCAGAATACACATACATAAACACGCTTTTATGAAATTATATACAACAGAAGGGGGCCAATCTCATTCATCACTTACTTCTAATTTATGCTATAAAAATATTTAATGATCAAAGATACAGACTTTTGAAACAGGGAATGTGATATTAATAAATTATTGGTTAATTTACAATTGGTTACCATAGTGATGATAAATAATCGTAAGGTCTAGTTAATAAACAATGAAGTATCCATGTACATATCAGTCTGGCAATAAGATATAGACAGATCTTGTAATTACTCTTTAGTCAATACAATTGGGGCAGATATATGTATACATGTAAGATATAGTGGGATAGGAGGAAAAAATAAGCGAAGTGAGATCGTATTTTCAGAAATAGCGGATGTATGGCGGTTTTGTCTCCTTTGTCTCTCTGCATATTTATACAGAGAGTAATAATCATCACTAGCTGACATCAGTTGGGAAAGATCTGGGAGCACTGGATAGCTGTTTCGCCCTACTCAGCAATATGTACCAATCATCCCGCCAGGAGATCGAACTCAGGACCTTCAGGTTTTACGGCGAACGCGTCAACCATTCATCAGCCAATGGGTCGGAGTTCAATGG